GTTCCTCCCTATTTGATGAGAGAACAAGGCGTCCATGAGTTGCTGGAAGGTGGTGCCAACATTCTAAAGGCCTACGAACATGACATTGCAGTAGTAGTTGTCATGATTCGACACGAAGGTTGTTTTAGAATTGTATAGGGGATCCATCCAAATCTAGTTATACGCTGAGTATGCATCCATGAAGCTCAACATGTAGTAGCCCGAGGATCCATCGATAAGGCGATCAATATTAGATAGTGGATACGGGTCCTTGGTACATGCAACGTTCAGGTCAGTGAAGTCTACGCACATGCGTCATCTCTTGTTTGCCTTCTTTACCAACCCCTCATTGGTTAGCCCGACAAAGTATTTTGTTTATGTAATGAACCTGGTGTTGGATAGCTTGCCTACTTCCTCTTCAATGGAGACCCTCTTCTCCTTGCCAACTTTTTGCTTCCTCTGTGACACTAATTTGATAAAAGGCTGGAAAGTGAGGCGATGATTCACCACTTTAGTGTCTATTCCAGGAATATCAGAGGGGGCCTAGGCGAACAAGTCGGCATTTTTAACGAGTTGGTCGACTAGCTCGTGCTCATCTTCCTGAGTAAGCAAAGTAACTCTCTTTGTCATATAATAGGTTGAAGGGCTTATTCAGACCTCCTTCAAGTCCTTTGTGGGTGTGGGCCTTTCAAAGTCTGCGCCCAACCAGGAATTCCAACCATTGAGGTATGCAGTTGGGACTTTAGGCAGAGGGGTGCCCACAAGGACGAACTCTCCCCTTTTTGCCTCCAAGCTATTTTGATAGCTTTCTTGAGCGGTCCGTTGATCTCCTCGAATCGTGTCGACTCGCCCTCCAGGCAGTGAGTATTTCAAGACCTAGTATTTGGGTGGAAATAATCGCTTATAGTGCGTTGATGGAGGGTCGACCTAGGATGATATTATAGGGTGCACTACAAGAAATTTGGCATGTACCAACGACAAAAATCTGTTGGTAAAGGTCCAATAACCGTTGGTAAAGATAAAAAACATATACCAACGAACGTTTGCTTTCGTCAACTATAATTCGATATACCAACGACAATTTTCCGTCCCAATATCTTATTCCAACGGCAATTTTAGGGGTTGATAAGAATTTCGAGGCTATAGCAACGGGTAATTACATTGTTTACTAACTATATCCACTATGTATTTCTGGTGGTATACGACAAAATTCACCGTTGGTATATGTTTTTTTTTACAATTAATAATTTTTTAATAATCAATTTTTTTTTTAATATATTTTTTCTACATGCATCACACAATTTAAAGTGACATCAAAAAAAATTTCAATTATATTATCAAAATAACAAGTCTTACAAACATATCAAAATAACAAAATAATATAAATTATTATATAATAACAATTACCAGAATAGATGCTACGACAAAAAAAAAACACAAACGTGTATCTAAGTTAAAAGCAAATTCTAATCTTTCTCTCTTCCATCTTCATCACTACATGGATTTTGAAAATTTGTCTGGTTTAAAATACTAACAACATTTGTAGTCTGTTGAAAATAAAATAAAATAAAATAAGTTACAAACTCAACTTAATAAAAAAAATTATAATATATTCAAAATACAAATTCGAAGAGTAAAATATAATAGGTCAATTCTATTTTACTAGGGTCAAATACCTTAAACTTATGTATAGGTCAATTCTGTTTTACTAGGGTCAAATACCTTAAACTTATGTATAGGTCAATTCCCTTACAAACAAAAAGAGTTACATTTAAAGTTTGGATTGTCTGGATTAGCCATGAAAATAAGCAAGTAGTCATGTAAGGATGCTTTCAATCATAATAATTTATCATTGACTATATTGTACATAATTATTTGTTTTTAGTTTTGCTACAAGTTTAGTGCCAATAATAGTAAAGCAAACACAAGGCATAATCCCTGTCATGAAAGAGCATGTAGATAGCCGAGAATAGCTTATGTTAAAATATTATTATTAACCTAAAAAGAAAAGTGCAAATTCTAAACATGTGGATGATAACCAGGAAATCTAGCTGCTAACTAAAAAACTACTCCGAATAACACCTTTGTTCCAACTCATGCATGCTATAATATTAATAAATGCACAAAAAAAATTACTAATAAAAAAACCAGAAAAATTTACTAATTTTTTAATCTTTTATTATTCATTTTTATTAATATATTTTACTAGTATTTCTAAGGTGGTCTCTTTGTGATGGCAATTGAGATGTCTTAGATATTACATTTGTAGCATTTTTCTTTTATATATAAAAAAACTCTTTAATGTATTAAAAAAGAACTCGTTTATATTCACATGTGAATCATATAGTTTATTGAGTAAGACAAAGCTCAAAGGCTTAGCTAGATGTAGATGGAACCACGGAAGAGTCAACCACCAACTCATCTTGCAAAACAAAATATCATTTACTGTTATTCTTCGATCTTCACACTCCCACACAAGAACTAACATGTCTTGTTCTTCCTTCAAATTCAAATGCTTGCAATATTTTTTCATCTTGCATATCTTTGCTTCAACATCCATCTTGTTATCATCAACACATAATTCCTCAATCAACAATTTTCTAGAGATTGCCAACAGTTCTGAGGTTTTTGATTGGATGATGAGTATCAGAAGGAAGATTCATGAGAATCCTGAACTGTGTTATGAAGAATTTGAGACAAGTAAACTGATAAGATCAGAATTGGATAAAATGGATGTACCTTATAAACATCCAGTTGCAATCACTGGTGTTATTGGTTTCATAGGAACTGGTTTGTCTCCTTTTGTTGCTTTAAGAGCTGATATGGATGCTCTTCCTATGCAGGTTCATGAACTACTTCATTTTCTCTTTTAACCAAAAAGTGTTAGTAATTAGTTCTTTCTTAGGGGTAGTTGCTTTTGATAGTTTATGATATTGTATGTCTTTTTGCAAATTTTGATAAGATGTTTGAAATTGAACCTCAGGAAATGGTGGAGTGGGAGCACAAGAGTAAAGTAGATGGAAAGATGCACGCTTGTGGTCATGATGCTCATGTTACCATGCTACTTGCTGCTGCAAAGATTCTCAAACACCATGAAAAAGAAATACAAGTGAGTCACCTTTTTTTGGTTTCCTTTATGTTATATTCTGTTCAAATTGTCAAAAACTGTAAAAATCTGTCCCTCTATATTATGTGTATTGTGTCTTGTTATTGTAGACTTCATCCTCTCATATCTAACTGAAATGTTATTTATGGCTTTTCTTAATTCAGGGAACTGTTGTTCTTGTTTTCCAACCAGCAGAAGAAGGAGGTGGAGGGGCTAAGAAAATTTTAGATGCTGGTGCATTAGAAAATGTAACAGCTATTTTTGGATTGCATATTGCTCCTGACATACCAATAGGTGAAGTGGCCTCGAGGCCTGGTCCAATAATGGCGGGAAGTGGCCGCTTTGAAGCCAAAATAAGTGGAAAAGGAGGTCATGCAGCTATTCCTCAACACTCTATAGATCCCATTTTGGCAGCTTCCAATGTGGTTATTAGCTTACAACACCTTGTGTCTCGTGAAGCTGATCCTTTAGATTCACAGGTAAATTTTAGTTTATCTACTAGTTTAAGTATTTATGAAGTTGTTTTGAAGAGTTTATGGAAATAGTTTATGATATTTTAACATCAGAAAGAATAAAAAGTAATTGAAAAATATTAAGAGCCCAAGTAAATAACCTATTGATGGAAAATTTTCCACCTGTTTCGCTTTCATCTGCATAAAATGTTAGAGCTTTTCCATTGTATAGAGATAGTTTGATATAACTGTTTCCATGGATCATCCTTCCTTACTTAATGTATGTTCTCACAGGTTGTGACAGTTACAAAGTTCCAAGGAGGTAGCGCATTCAATGTCATTCCAGATTATGTCATAATTGGTGGCACCTACCGAGCTTTTTCTAAACAAAGCTTTAATCAACTAAGAAAGCGAATTGAACAGGTGTGCAATGGAAATCAATCAATTCAATTTCAATGCATGATAATGACTGAAAAAACTTCGAAAGTTTGAGAGAGTAAAGCACAGCTTATGCAAGTTCAATACGTTTTTCCTATAACCATTTAGGAACAGTTTCACGAATTCTTATTCCAGTTGATAAACTCAATCCAAACAGACTCTAAAGCTGATTCTTTCATGCAGGTTATAATTGGGCAAGCTGCAGTGCATAGGTGCAATGCAACTATAGATTTCCTTGATGAAGTGAGACCTAACTATCCTCCAACTGTAAACAATGGTGACTTGCATGAGCATTTTGTGAATGTTGCAGTGAATATGCTTGGTATCAATAAAGTTAATAGTGCTGTGACACCATCCATGGCAGCTGAAGATTTTTCTTTTTATCAAAAGGTCATGCCTGGTTACTGGTTCTGGCTTGGTGTGCAGAATGCCTCACATAAACGGTTGCAGTCATTACATTCACCTTATCTCGAAATCAATGAAGATGGACTCCCATATGGAGCTGCACTTCATGCATCATTAGCTGCTAGTTACCTTCTAAAATATCAGCAGGATGTACCTGGTGTTGAGAGAAGATATCTTGATGAATTATAGATGTTAGTGAACATTTAATACTATATGTCTTTATCAATCTACTTCTAAACCTCTCCAGATCTTTCTTTGGACTTATAGTAAACCTCTTAACTTTATAAAATCTTCATGCATGACTAATTTGAGACTTCACACATTCAACTTGTACATTCTTTCTATGCGCTCCCTTATATAGTGAAAACGTGTATCAATATGCTTGCTGCGATCATGAAATATATGATTCTTTGTAAGAGTTATGACTGATTTGTTGTTACACAAAAACCATAGCCGGCTCCTCCTGTGGCATAATTATTCAAATTGTTCGAGTGAAACTGTGCACGTTTAATTAAGTATTATATAGAGATGATATTGTAAAAATGATCATTTTAGTATCATCTTAGGCAAACTTAAAAATAAGAATCTGCGCATGATGGCAATGTACGTCAGTCCACACGATGTCGGATCATTTGGTTTTATGGTATAATCCAGCAAGTTGCAGGCAGATAATGGAAGCAGATGAAGAAATAAAAGTCAGTAAGGATGTGAACAACACCAGTTACAATCCAAAACTTACATTTAGATTCTTTATTGATGAAACTCTATATGATGAAGTAGCGATAAAACAGTGTGGATTTCGTTGGATATATCAAGAAGAAACAATTTCTTCAGCAGTTTTAGAATCCCAAAATGAAGTAGAAGAAGAAATTGTGTCTTCGTCAGATTTTCAATCCGGCAATCAAAAGAAACAATTACTCCAACAAAACTTGAATTGGATGATCAAGGAGAAACAGTTCCTCCAACAAAGATTTAGAGCAATGTGTTTTTGGAACGCGGCCGTATACTTGAGGTACATAATATTCGTAGAATTCATGACAGCTAAGCTAACAGTCTGTCATAATGAAATGTTTAAGATTGGCTGCATTGGACTAAAAAATGTGAATTGATTGAAAATTTTGATATTTATATTCACTCGTGGATCATTATATAAAAGAGTAAGACAAATCTCTATGTCATAGGAAATTGGAGAGTCAACTACTTACTCGTCTTACAAAATCAAAATAGCATTTTTTGTTATCAACAGATAATCTTTCATACTCCCACACACACCAAGACAAACCATGTCTTCTTTCTTCAAATTCAAATTCAACAACTTTCTAGACATTGCAAAGAGTCCTGAGGTTTTTGATTGGATGATGAGTATGAGAAGGAAGATTCATGAGAATCCTGAACTGGGTTATGAAGAATTTGAGACAAGTAAACTGATAAGATCAGAATTGGATAAAATGGATATACCTTATAAACATCCAGTTGCAATCACTGGTGTCATTGGTTACATAGGAACTGGTTTGCCTCCTTTTGTTGCTTTACGAGCTGATATGGATGCTCTTCCCATTCAGGTTCATGAATTACATCATTTTTTTAACTACAAATGTTAATAATTAGTCCTTTCTTAGTAATGTTATTCCCATAAACCACCTAAACTCTTTATCACTCTTACATGATATTCATATTGCCTTACCCTATAGTATAGATGCAAAGATAGTTGACTTTTTTTCTGGTTTTTTTTTTGGACTTAACTCTGCAGTTCTTAAGGAAAAAGGTTATGGTAATATAGTTTAGCCAATGATTGTTTCAGGCGGGATTCGAACATGAGTACTCTATTGATTCATAAGCTCATTAAACACTTGAATCCAATTGCTTGAGTTTTTTGTAATTTTGTTTGTTTTTCTCAAATTTGCCTTTTGTCATTGCTATTATATTTATATGATGTTTGAACCTTAGGAAATGGTTGAGTGGGAGCATAAGAGTAAAGTAGCTGGAAAGATGCATGCATGTGGTCATGATGCTCATGTTACCATGCTACTTGCTGCTGCAAAGATTCTCAAACATCATGAAAAAGAGATACAAGTGTGTTACCTTTTGACCTGCCTTTAATTTTGGTTCCTTTATGTTATATTCTGTCCAAATTGTCATCAACTTTAAAAATCCGTCCCTTTATATTATTTGTATTTATCGTTTTTCCTAATTCAGGGAACAGTTGTTCTTGTTTTCCAACCAGCAGAGGAAGGAAGTGGAGGAGCCAAGAAGATTATTGAATCTGGAGTATTAAAAAGTGTTACAGCTATCTTTGGATTGCACGTTGTTCCTGAACTGCCAGTAGGTGAAGTGGGATGTAAGTCTGGTCCAATATTAGCAGGAAGTGGCAGCTTTGAAGCAAAAATAAGGGGAAAAGGAGGTCATGCTGCTGTTCCTCAACACTCTATAGATCCCATATTGGCAGCTTCCAATGTGATCATTAGCCTACAGTACCTCGTTTCTCGTGAAGCCGATCCTTTGGACTCGCAGGTAAATTGAAGTTTATGATATTGATTAGAAGAACTTACAGGAATAGCTTATAATATTTTAACATCGGAAAGAAGAAGTAGTGGTAAAAAAACCTATTCATGGATCATCATTCCTAAAGATAGTTTGATATGACTTTGTTTCCAAGTATCATCATTCCTTACATAAATGTATGTTCTTGCAGGTTGTGACGGTTGCAAAGTTCCAAGGAGGTAGTACATTCAATGTCATTCCAGATTATGTCACAATCGGTGGAACCTACCGAGCTTTTTCTAAACAAAGCTTCAACCATCTGAGACAGCGTATTGAACAGGTATGCAATGTAAATCAATCAATTCAGTTTGAATGAGAGAGTAAAACATAGACCTTAAAACCATTACTTTTATGCAGATTATTGTCGGTCAAGCTGCTGTGCATAGATGCAATGCAACGGTGGATTTCCTTGATGATGTGAAACCTAGCTATCCTCCAACTGTAAACGATAGTAACTTGCATGAGCATTTTGTGAATGTTGCAGTGAATATGCTTGGTATCAATAAAGTTAATAGTGCAGTGACACCATCCATGGGAGCTGAAGATTTTTCTTTCTACCAAGAGGTCATGCCTGGTTACTTCTTCATGCTTGGAGTGCAGAATGCCTCACATAACCCGTCCGAGTCATCATTACATTCACCTTATCTCGAAATCAATGAAGATGGTTTTCCTTATGGAGCTGCACTTCATGCATCATTAGCTTCTACTTATCTTCTAAAACATCAGCAAAATATGCCTGGTGCTACTGATACCAAATATCATGATGAAGTATAAATGTTAGATTTGTTCTCTTCCAAGTGTTCCTTTATGTTTTACTCTCTAGGTATCGTTAGTCTTTAAGTTATGAACTTATGATCATTTATGTCATATTTTATGTTATGAACTTATGATCATCTTGCACTATTGTACTTTATGTTGTATTATCTTCCACTATTGTACTTTATGTTATATTCTAAGTTGTGAACTTATGATCATCTTGTCTAGTCTTATGTTATGTCTTGTCTAGCCTTACATTACTACGAAAAAGACATTTAACAACGATTGGGAAAGATATATAACCACGTGAGATCAGGCGTTGTCATGTAGTGTGTAGTTGTATATGCGGTACTTACGATCATGGTTCTGAGACCGTTGTTATATTCTAGAAAACACGCGCCATATCATAACGATTAGTTAACACAACCGTTGCGATAGAACTAAAGGTCTCAGGTTCGATTTTCAGCATCAACATTTTGTAATTTATATTATTCTAGCCAGCGTTCAATATACAATCACAATTATGTTTTATAACCGCTGTCAAAACTTTCTCTGTTTTAAATATGTCATTCTCTGCTTCTCAAATTCTTTCTATTTTTTATCTTGTAACTATTATAACCTAATCAGAGAATTTACAACAACGCGTATTGAGAGGCTCAAGGAGTTGACAATTGCATAAAGCTTGCTTTTCAAAAATGGAATTGTGAACTTTTTGCCATAAGTGGAAAGTCAACTTGGATAAAGGTTTAAACACTTATGTAATAGCTCAAAAGCAAGTGTAAGCTTCTGATTATGGAGAGATTTAAAGATTTAGAGGCCTGCAAAGCAAGATTACAAGTCATGGCTAAGATATTTGAATTCTTGTTCATCATGGAAATGACCTATAATTCAAGAATGAATGTCCAACTTCTTGTCTTTGATTCTCTTAGCTCAAACATGATATCTTCAAGTTTTTGGACATTTTGGAAAGCTTGTAACATTGTCTACAACTCCTCTTTTAATCACTTTTGCTAAATAAAATTGTAACTATGTGAAAATTGGCCAAGAAGTTAGGTCAAAATCCTGACCAAACTAGGTCAAAATTTCACTAAGTGTTTTAGAAAAAGTGTATGACTTCATGAACTTATAACTAAAAATACAAGCATTTATAGGACTTGATCATCAAAGCAAAGTTGTAGATTTCATCAAGTTCTACAACTTTCATGTTGAAAGTTTTCTTTTAATCATCTCACATCATGGTGAAAAAATGTCATGAAGTTAGGAAATAATAAGGTTAAAACACTAAGAAATTTTTCTAAGTCTTGAAAAGTTTGATTTTTTCAAAGAATTTTTGACTTTCTTGATTTCTTGATGATTAAGCTTCATATTTTTGAATGTCTTGATGAATTTTGACATTTGAAACTTAATGTTGACCGAAAATTCAAAGTTTGACTTTTGGTGTATCAGTTGACTTTTCATCAATTGACTGAATTTCAATTATCAATCAATTGATCTTGAGAAATGATTCGAATCATGAAATTAGATCAACATGTTGTGTTTGATCCTTGAGATAATGCTTCAAGTCATTAGGTCATGTACTAGGTCAAAAGTCAATGATTGGTCATTTCCAGTCAAAACCCTAATTTTGACCATTTTGACCTTTTGATGATTTGACTGTGTTTCTTGAGGAATTGTGATGAGACCTTGATCAATTAATGAATATGAATTCAAAATATTTATATGGATCAAAAGTATTGAATTTTGACTGTAAGTTGACCACAATTGACTTTTTACCCAATACAGTTGGTTTTCAGTCATCTGAGCAATTAACTGAGCAAAATTGTGACCCAAGACTTGAAACTTGGAATGAGTATTCTTAGGAGTTTATAATGAACCATGAAAGTCAATTGAGGCATTAGAAGTCCAATTGTCATTGTGAAAATCTAAACTCTAATTTGTGGCCTCAGTGCTAGGAGATGAGTTTGTCTGATTAAGTCTTGGAGAATTCTTGAGCATTTGAAATTTCTTGTGAGAAATGTCTTGAGAGAAGAGAGAGAAAATTTTGGGGTACAACAGAGTCCATTCAAAAATACACTAAGGTGTATGTTTCTAATACAAACCTACATGGGTGTGTATTAGCATTACCCAAGACTTAAGTGGAAAGAGATAAAAACGCAAATGTTCCAACTAAGAGATAAAAACATTAAATAGGTTGGTGCCCTTAAAAACGCAAATGTTCCAACTAAGTTGGTGCCCTTAAGAATCTTTTATCCCCTACCTCTTACTCCGAATACTATTAAGTAAAAAAGAAAAAAATTGTACAAGAAGCGGAGGGGTGGTCAAACCAAAACCCTCTAAAAGAAGCCAAAAAGAAAAAATAAAAAAGCAAACTAAGGGAAACAAAAGTTATGTAGGTCAAAGTGGTCCCTACAAAAGTCTTCCCTAATAATGTTGGGCATGGATACTCACCTAACTGAGTTTTGAACTAATTGATCCTCATTAGCAAGTATATATGCAATAAACTGTTACCCTCTTTAAAAATATAAGATGATACCACCTGAATTCCAAGGGGAAAACAATTGTGCCAACGGTTTCGGAAGCGACAAGGCACAATCAAAGGGATATTGAAATCTAAAAAAGCACTCTTAGAATCACCTTCAATCCAAATACGAGTTCAATTGTGTTTCACTGCAATTCTATAATCAACATAAAACCTTGCAACTTAAACTAAAAAACAAAAACTTGACCAATACTGGACGAGAACCTACCAAGATAAGCCACATTATGATCTCTAAAAATACCATCACATGCTAAATGTAAACCCACTATGGAAACATCGGTAGTAACCTTAACCCAAGGGGTCGTAGGAGGCTTCCAAATGATATTCACAATACTTGTTAGTCTCCTATGCTGCGAAAAGACAAAAAAAGTTATCCAAAATATCAATGTCTGGCGGCATGGGAAGATAATTACTGTTGGAATAACTAATACTAATATAAACCACTGTAACAATCTTTGCTCGTGCAACATGAAGAGAAATTTTTGCATAGTTAAAGTGAATAAGGTTGTGGGTCATCCAAATAGTATGAAAATATGAATGATACCTGCAATAGTAATATCTTTTACCTACCAACTACATCTTAGGTGGATGTAGGGAAGACTGAATGTTGTAGATGATAAACAAATGCAAACATGAAGCCTATCACCTAACCAATTCCAAAGATTCAGGGCAAACAAACATTCGAGAAAAAGATGAACTGATATTTTGAATGCAGTCTAACATAACACACAAATGGAAATGACCGTGCAACCTCTAATACAAAGGTTTCCATCCGTAGGCATTTTCCCATGCATGAGTCTCCAAAAAAAAGAATGAGACATAGGAATACATGTGTGTTATATCTTCCTTGTGTTTCCTTGTGGAGGAGTGTTATACATGCTTTCTTCAAGAGGAAACAACATTTCCTCTATCACTTGTGAATTCTATTGACAAACAATGTTGTACATGTTTTTCAGCAATTCATTGGCGCCTCACAATGAAATTTAGCTCGCAATAGTTGGAAACCATGTAAGGCTTATGGTTAAGTGGCTGGAAGAGGAATTGAAGGTCCAATAGGAGACACTGGAGAAGATCCAGTGATCTGAGGAGCTTGGAATAGATCTGGAAGAAGAATAGTTTCCGCTACATGATACACAACACCTTGCAGTGGAGGTGGTGGCGGTTGATTGATCGTCACTTAAGTAGTTGTGGCGTTGTGTATTTCTACGGAACGAGTATCTATGGATCCAATCATTATAAAGAAGTGTGGAAGTCAGAAATTTAGAAATTCAAGAAACCAATGATGGTACGCTACTTGATAAGATTGAACATGGTGGATCTTCTTGTTCAATTTTGAGAACTCTTAATCTGGTGGGTTGAAAAAGTTTCGAACGGACTAATCGATAAATAAACATGAGATCGTGAAAAACATGGGAATTAGAAGTTGTTTCCTATATATGGTGTCATTGTTCTATTGTGTAACTAAAATGGAGTAAGGTTAGGTGATTGTGGAGGATTACTGTAGATTAGAGCTTTCGATAATTAGATTGGCGTTGTAATGCGGTGGGATAATTGACTTGGTTGTTTTGTATTTGATCACAATTATTGCAGATAGCAAGAGTCGCCACCGACTTTTCTTTTATCTAATAAGGAAAGGGTGAAAAGAACAGGAAAGACCTTTGAGATGTTTTCTTGAGTTCGGGGGGTAGGTTATGAAAAGGAAAGGTGTTAGCACCCTTTTCATCCATATTTATCTATGGGCTCTTAGTTTCTAGCTCACTTTGAAATTCTTTATTTGAAATGTGTTTGTGTTTGTTTGAAACTATTTTTGAAAAGTGTCTTTGTTTAGGTGAACTTTGTAATGATTCTCGTCTCTATAAGAATGCATACAAAGTTTGACTTTTGAAAATATTTCATGGAAAAGTGTTGGTGTTTTTGAAAGATGTTTTGAAATGTTGTGAGCAAGCAACTATGAGCGTTCTACCTACTCAAAAAGTCTTAGTTCTTTTCCTTCTCCTTTAGATGTTGCTATCTTACCATTGATTGGTAAGAAGCCCTATCATTGGATATGAAGGGACGGGCGTGGGTCATCGTATAGTCATAGATAGCAATGTTGTGAGATACCTTGGCATTTTTCTTACGGTTCTAAGATCATTTTGAAGGCAACATTCGAAACGTCATCGAGGGACTATGATCTTGTATTCGAGGGTCATTTGCTAAAGTGTCTCACATGCATAACATGACCATTTTTCTTAAGGCAACAAAGTGGAGTTAACCCTAGAGGTGCAAGTGTGCAAATGTTTATTTTTCATGCATTATTTTTTCTTAGATTAGGGTTGTCTAGGAATTGATTTTAGTCTTGCCATGTAAATCCTAATTACTAGCATTGATATTGAAAGCGATAAATTGCGGAAATGTAAAGTTCTACGTTATTACATCATTTGGGGATGGAGTATACAATTTTATAAATGGAGAATGGAAAGCAATAAAAATCCTAATT